AAAGAGGCAAGACGAAAGAAGAGGAGAGGGTTGGTACGAATCGATTAGGTCTGTCGGCCATTTTGTTAGCGGCTCGAACCGGCCAAGTATCCTACAGCTGCCCGCAGAAGGCGTGGAAGCGACTGAGTCGACTCCATCGGGAGAACGAATAGCTCGACGTCGGCGTGGAATCGAGGCACGAATTCTCGCTACCGGATAGGATGTGGAGGAGCGGCATCGGGTGGTGGGACCGACATTGAAGTGGGGTCGGAAAGGTCGACTTCGAAGGTGGGGGTATCGGGTGGTTAGGTTGGGTTCTATAGGAACCTAACTGGCAGTCAGTGCCTCCCAGGGCCCCGCGCCGTTAGTTTCGTTGGTGTTGTGTCGTGTAACGTGTCCTCTCTTTCTCTCTTTTTTCTCTCTTTTTCTTCCCTTTCTTTCTTAGGCCCTCTCCCTCTTTCCTTTCTATCCCCTTTTCCGCGTTTTTTTTTTGACTTGTTGTCACAATCGACACCGTCACGAATGATAAGGAAATAATCGCGCACACGTGCCACTTTCGACGATATTTACTGTTGATGCTACGCGTCCACAAGTGGGGATCAGAGTCATGATTCTTGTTGATCGGATACCCTGTCCATTGGTTTCATTTCTCTGAAAGAAAAAATTGGAAAAATAAATTGACGAGGAACGTTTCTTACACCCTTGGGATGAGTTTAACGAAATAAAAAATTTTCAATTATCTCAGATTTGAGATGAATATAATGTACTGGAAGAATGTGATAGATTGATAGAAAGTTCACTGAAATTCTTTTAAATCGAAATTACATGTTGAATATTATATCGTGAAGATAATTATATAAATGATCCAAAAGAATTCAATTAACTAGATTGACGAAATAAAAAATTGAGCATCGAGATTGTCGTTAAATTAATTTAACAAATGTTTGGAGAAATCGTGGAAAAAATAATTTGTGCCAATAATAATAATAGTGATTTTCGGTTATTTTTGAGAAAACCGTGCGCAAAAATCAACGAATCGCTGGTTCAGAAGACCGCAAAATGGCGTAAAACTATCGTTGAAAATATATAACTTTTTCAAATCGTACAAATTTCTCGATTCGAATGTGAACGAATAATGTGAAAAATTAAAATTTCGTGATGAGCTGAAATGGAATTTATGCAACGAACAGTATATTAGCAAATAATGCAAATTATTTTATTGATTGAATTGAATTTACAAATAGTGGTTTTCAGTAATAGCCAGATGAGTGCAAGTTGTAGAATATGAAATTGCGAATATTTATTAAGGAAGATATGTGCAATTATGAACTAACGCGGTTTGATCGGTGAAAAGGGACCAGAAGTGTATATTCTTTTAATGTAACAATAATTTGATATAAAAAGTAACGAAAAAAATTTAACAAAATTATTCGGCAATAAAATTAATCTATTGGATTAATTCAATATTTATAATAATTGAAATCAATCAATCCAATTCAATCGGTCCAAAAAATAATATATATATACATATGTATAGTTTTTCGTAAATTGCATATTATTCAACAGGCAAATCCATCATCTTAAAACTGTAAACAGTGATTTTTATTTTATTTTGTGACTCGAGTGACTTCTTTGAAAAAAGAAAAGAAACCAAAAAAAAACCATCGAAGTGTTGGTTCAAGCGTCGAGATCTCGAGTCTTTAGTGAAATTCTGTATAAAAAAGTAAGTACGGCCGACGGTCGTACTTGGCAGTAAGGCTTCAAGATTGCTCGAAAATCGTCGAGAGAGGTGCGCAGGGCAGGAAGAGCGATGGAAATCGGGGGTGCAGCGATGCAAAGAATGGCCGCTACCGGAGGACCCGGGCCTCTCAGCCTTCAGGGTCCTCCAAGGTCAGTGAAAATCTCACCCGTTAATATACAAGACGAACCCGGTGATCTTACTTCTCAAAGTACGTATACTATCAATATATGTATTTATATATGTATTTGTTTGATTCTTGCAAATATTCGTGCCATTTAATTATTGAATAAATTTCTTTTAAATAATGAAAATTTTAATTCTTAATTAATAAAAATTTCATTTATTTAATATGTTTAGAAATTCTTACTTAAAATGTATTTATATATATATGTAATGATAAAAATTGATAAAAATACTTCCTGTAAAAATGATAAAATATAAAATTATTATATAGCTATTTTTAATGATAAGTAAGTTTATCATTTTTCTAATTGAAAATGCTATTTGAAGAAATGTTCGTTGAATAATTTTGTTTAATGAATTTATACATCATCACATGAATAAACAATAATTTATGAAAAAATATACATATAAATAATTTATATAAACAATATTTTAATTTTTGCGTTAAATTATTTAATAAAGAATTAAAAAAATTTAATAAAATCTAAAGAAAATTTATTAATTTTATTAAAAATTTTACTTGAAAATTTATTTTTTGTGATTGATTAAAAATTACATGTTTAATTATAATATAATAGCTGTATGTATGTATTAAAATTTATTGTATGTTTCTATTGGAATAATTCATCTATAGTTTTAATAGTTAGAGCAAATGTTAGTCTATTAAATCCATTCATATATATGATAATAATCCTTTATATTCATTCTAAAAACAAGAATGAATATTTAATATTATTTATTAATATTTTTTTTATTTATCATTTAGTTTTATAATGATAAGGTGATGATAAGGTTAAAGTTAAATATCATATTATTTTTTGTTTTATCAAAACATTAATAAAATTAGAAAATAAATAGATATTTTAATTTGGAAAGTTTAAATTCTTTATAATATATTTATGTAATTGATGTAATTGTTTTAATTTTAATATGTATTAAACTTATATTGTACTTGTATTATACTATTTGTATTATACTTTTATATATTAACTTTTAAAATAACTGTAAAAATATTGAATCATATAATATATTTATAAATAGATTAAAAATTGTTTAAAATTTAACAAAATTATTTAAAATTCTAAAATATTTTTTAAATTAAAAATTATTAATTTATATAAAATAGCTATAAATATATAATTAAAAATGTAATAAAAAATATTAAAATAATAATAGGTAAACAACTTTCTAATAAATGTATAAATTATCTTCCTTTTTCATATTATAATTTTCACACATATTATTATTCGATCTAATAATTTTAAGAAAAAATGTATTAGAAGAAAAAAAATTTCATTTTTTCTTATATATTTATTCTACATTAATGTTCCATTTTGTTTTATATACATTATATACATTAAATATTTAAAAAAAATATAATTTAATATTTATGTTTGAAATAAAGAGTTTAAAAGTTAAAATACAGTATAAGACCTATAGAATGTCATGCTTTACTCATCATGATGATTTCTCAATAGTCAAATTAAAAAAAAAATAATTATTATACTATCACTAAAAATTTTTACATTTCGAATTTTTCATGCTTTAATATAACAGAATATCTTCATAGAATTGTGATCAATTACAAAATTCTTCGATAACTGTATAGATTCATGTCAAATTTATGTCATACAATATCTTTTTACTGACTATTTAAAAGAAATATTAATCTTTTGCTTTATCATACACACACACATGCGCGCGCGCGCACACGCACGCACGTACGCACGCATGCACACATAATTTTAAAATCTATATTTCCCAAAAAATTAGATTTTATACATCTCAATTATTCTATCGGTATAATTTCTAACTTAAATTTACTATAAAAATAATATAGTTAAAAAAACACGTTTAAAAAAAGTTAATACCAACAACTACTATTATTCATTTAGTTTCTATAAAATGTGAAAATACCTAAATATGACATAAATATTCCATTTATTCAGTGTTAAGTACAGTATTATTTCTGAATATTAATAACGATTTAAAAAAAAAATTTACTGTGTTTTAATGGCAATAATGATAAGAAGTAAAAATATTGCGAGTTAATTAATAATGATATTTAATATTCGTAAATAATAAAATGTATTCAAATGGTAAGAATGAATTCAAAGAAAGAAAAAAAAACATAAAAAATTAAAATTTGTGATTTCATTATACCCATCATATTTAAAAATTATTGAAATTTACATATGTGACTAGTAAAAAAAAAAAAAAAAAAAAAAAAAA